TAAAATGACAAATATATTGTATTTTACCACAATAAACAAACACACAAAATCACCTACCCTGTAACATTAATACTTCCAATTTTATGGGTTTTCTTCCAATAAAATACACGATTCAAATTATTCAAAGTATTTCAAAACTGACTTCTTTAGCTAAAGAAAGAGTTCTTAATACAAGCCAGGCAGAGTAAAACCTTAATGAGATTTTTAAAAAATGTGATAACTGCTCCTTATAATCTCCCTAACTTTCCTACCCACAAATACCCATGCATGTACTTCAACATCAGAGAAATGCTTTAACAAAAGAAGTTTCTAAGACGTGTTACTGTGACAAATATACATAATCCAATAATACAATTTTCTAGATATAGGTACTGATTCATTTCAACATAGTTAATAAAGAAAATAGGCTTTCAAGCAAAACTGCCTGGGTTAGAATTCTAGTTTTACTATTTTCTAGCTATTACTTAGATGCCTTAGGTCCCCGCTTCCTCACTGCAAATTAGGATAATATCTATTTCAGACGTTGTTCAAGAATCAAACACATGGAATGCGCTCAGATTAGTACCCTAAAAAGTAAGCATTCAATAAGTATTAGCTATTATATCTATTAATACTCAGAAAAAGCATGAGACCACTCTAATGTATTTCTGAAAAAATTTAATACACTGGAAACTATTTTCTGATTCACTAGAAAATGAAATTGAAATAACAGATTTCTGAAAATTACAGAACTAAATTAGCCATCTTTCCCCCCATCCCCCCACACCCACCCGACGAGATGGGAGTTTTGCTCTTGTTGACCAGGCTGGACTGCAATGGTGTGATTTCAGCTCATTGCAACCTCGACCTCCTGGGTTCAAGTGATTCTCCTGCCTCAGCTGCCCGAATAGCTGGGACTATAGGTGTGTGCCACCACCCCCCCGTCCGGCTATTTTTTTGTATTTTTATTAGAGATGGGGTTTCACCATGTTGGCAAGGCTGGTCTCGAACTCCTGACCTCAGGTGATCCTCCCACCTCAGCCTCCCAAAGTACTGGGATTACGGGTATGAGCCACCACGCCAGGTCCAGTATTTGTTTTAAAGCTACTATTAGTATGGCTGCAGGGAACCACTATAAATACTTTTGCATTTCCCGAAGTCTCTTCCTGCTTTATTGTATCCTAATACAAAAATCTCTTCTACTCTTCATACAAATCTATTATGGCCAGAAATACTTTGTCCTCTCTGTGTTACTAGCCAAGTTTCATAAATGTTGCAGGTATGTGTTTATGTGTTTAAGGGAGAGAGGAGGCAATACATTTCTCCTCTTCTGTCAACTATTTAAAAGTAAAAGTCCTTCAAATGAGAGTTGTCTTTAACACCTTATAATTGTTAAACAGTAACTATCTACTTATGCAATAAGCCCCATTTGCAAATTTCCAAGAGTCAATCATAAATTTTATGATCTAAACTAGAGAATTTCTGAGAATGAATAATAATTATGCTGGGACAGAAGGTAGAAAGTAGGACTGTTCCAGGCAAATCTGGGTGTATGGTCACTCTACTTAAAAAAATCTTTTTAGGTAGCAACCTAAAATATGGGAATAAGATATCATTACTATATTTATCTCATCATATTCTGGACTTGAGTTTTAAAAACATTAGAAGTCTAATGTTAAAAAAGGCAACATTAAAGTACATTTAATTCTTAAAAAATTTTTTTTTCTATTTTCTTTTGATTATTTCTGAAGAGAGCAAAAAAGACAGTTCGTCTAAGAAAAATGGGATATCTTTTAAGGTAATACTTTAAAAAGACTCCTGAATCATAGCTTTCTTTCATTAGCTGCTTATGATTCTTATGGTGATTTAAATTACAAAAAACACAGTATACTCATGTGGTTCTGTGGTAAACAGTAACTGAAAACTACAGCTTTAAGCATGGCAGCTGGCATATATCTATGCAGCCATACTGTTATTAGAGCCAGAGCCCATCCTGATTGAATGTACCAGTTATAAATCTGAAAATCATCTTTGGTGTTATATATACATAAATGTTGTTAACTCAATTAGCTAACACATTAGGGAATGCCAAGTACATACAAAACCACTGTGACTAAAACTGCAAGAAAACAGATAGAAATACACAGCTTATGCTCTCCCCAACAGCTCACATTCTACTAAAAACAAGGAGCAATTCAGAGAGTCTCAACTTCAAGTATTTGGTTTTAATGAATTTGGTATCCTGCTCCGCATGTATACCAGTTAGGTATTGCTTAAATCAGCATTAGAATTCACTTGAATCTGTACTCATTAAATGTTATAGAACAGTATGAAAGTATAAACCAAAAACAAGCATCCAAGGAAATCTGGATTTTAAAATATGGAACGCATGTAGCTAAGAATTAACATGAAGTAGATAAATAGATTAAGCAACAGAAAAATAATTAGCAGCACTCTACAGTATAATGCCATTAATCATCTAAACATTGTTCAAAGATTTGTTATTCTTATTAACAAAGGTTACATGAATAAAAAATGGTCTGGGATAGTGGTTCACGCCTGTAATCCCAATACTTTGGGAGGGTGAGGAGGGTGGATCGCTTGCGGTCAGGAGTTCAAGACCAGCCTGGGCAACATGGCAAAACACCATCTCTACAAAAACAAAAATGCCAGTTATGGTGGCATACGCCTGTAGTACCAGCTACTCTGAGGCAGGAAGATCACTTGAGCTTGGGAGGTGAAGACTGCAGTGAGCTGAGGTCACACCACTGCAACTCCAGCCTGGGCAACAGAGACCCTGTCTCAAAAAAAAAAAAAGGTGTAATATTATCAGTTTGGAAAAAAACTAAACTTCCAGATAATGCCACTGCCTACCTGTAGCAATTACCTCTGCAGCAATATTCTACAGAGTTTCTGAATATTCTTATACAAGCTAAGTACTTATTGTCATTAGTTCATACCACCTCTGTCCCAGTTACTTTAATAAATAATTAGTACCGAACATATAAAATGTTAGCCATCTGGGGGTACTATATTAGTAAATAAGGAAATCCTTTCATTCTGTCATTTGTGACAACATGCATGAGCCTGGAGGACACTGTGCTAAGTGAAATAAACCAGGAACAGAAAGACAAATACTGCTACACACAATCTCACTGATACGATCCAACTCATAGAAGCAGAGAGTAAAATGGTGGTTACCAGAGGCTGGGGGCCATGAGCAAGGTAGGGGAAATGATTTTCAAAGGGTACGAAAGTTTCAGTAAAATGGGAAAAACAAGTTTTGGAGATCCACTGTACATTTTGGTGACTATAATTAATAATAACTGTACATTTCAAAACTGCTACAAGAGATTTCAGAATGTTCTCACTCCAAAAAAAATAAGTATGTGAGGTAATGAATATGTTAACTTGATTTACTAAGTCTACAATGTAGACATAATCAAAACATCATATTATACTCCATAAACATATACAAGTATAACCACCAATTAAAAATAACATTTTAAAAAAGATTTTTAAAAATTAAAAAAAGAAAATTATGTCAAATCATTTACTACCTAGTAAAGTTTAAGTGATATTACAAAAGAATCCAACAGGATTATTACCACAAACATTAATACTTTTTTAGTATTGTTAATCAAATTTGTTAAAATATTAATTATTCCTACCTTTTATGTAATTCTTTTTAAGAGGACAAAGGATTCATATAGAAATCACAAAAGTCCTCCTTTTGAATCACGTAAGTCCCCTTTCATTTGGTTAATACTCAGCATATTAAAGGCCCAAGAACCACAAATCTAATCCCAACTAACGGGTGGTTTCTGCTCAATCTACTTGTTGGAACAAGAAATTCACTGAAGTTAGAAATACTATTGTCGTCTGGAATAAGGACGTCTTACCTATTCCAACCTCCTCTTTCCTCTATTTTTGAGAGAACAGATCCTCTAAAGCCACAAGTTATTTTTTCATATTTTTCTTATACTTTTTGAGAGTAGAGGTGACAGTGGAAAGAAATCAAAGGCATTGAGGATGCAGTAGCTGACATTTAGAGGTCAAGGATGAATGTTAGGGAAGGACTATTCAGACCCTGCATTTGGCTCAGTAATCACAACTGGCACCTTAAAGATAGCTCTCTTGCAAATAAGAGTCAGTGAGAGCACATGGCTGTCCAATATAAGCTGATTTTATTAATAGGAAGTAATGTCTAATACATGTCTTTCATGCTGCCCTGATGAGGACAAGCAGCTATTTTTTTTATCATTTACTACTAGCTTTCTTTCTGGGAAGAAGTAATTATTATCTCAATCAATCTTGTTTCATAAAAACTTGGTTAAGGCAGATAAAGATCAAAAACAAAGTAAAAAAGGCACCCAGATGAAAAATTCAAATAAAAAATAAAATTTGGAAATCGTGAATTTTTTCTCAATTACCAATACCCTGGTTTTTATTTAATAATCAAAAGTAGCTAAAAGTACAGCTACTTTTCAATCACATAGTATGATAAACACTTATATTACTTTTGTTTAAAAGAAGTAAATACCAGGTACCTGGCACCCAGTAGCAGTCTCCTGAAAGGAAACCAGTATACAAAAGAAGACCAGACTGAAATATTAACTTCAATCTCTTCACAAGATATAATTATTTTGATCTACTCCCATCCTAAAAGTATTTATTTTTTATTTTTTCAAAACAAGTTAATACTGGTAATGTTTATAACTGAGTATGAATTTATACATATACTATTAGCAACTTGTTTGGGAATCATGATCATATTTTTGGATCACAAGATTAGTTTCTGTATATTCTTCTCAATTTTAGAACAATGTCTCTTTCCTATATTCAAACAGCAAGACACACAAATATCTGTTTCAGTCCAAATTTGTTGAAGATATAAAAAGTATTATATCTATTACTTTTAATGCAATGCAATCAAGATACTATTTTATTTGTAAAAAACTTTTTTAAAACACTTGCAAGTTATTTTTCTTTCAAAGTCAAATGTCTTATTTACTATTTACCCGGTGGTGGAATCAGAGGTGGAGCAGTGCTGACAGTCGGAGGAGGTGGAAGAAATGGAGGAGGTGGAAGGTGAGTGGGAGGAGCTCCTGGAGGGAAAAATGGAGGTGGTTTGCTGAAATTGTTGTCTACTTCAGTAGCAGATCTTTCAGAAAGGACCTAAAATTAGAGCATAGTTAAACAGATGCATAAATATTTTTATCTAAGATTAATCTTAGTAAATTAGTTTCATTTAATTTTAAGAAACAAAGTAAAAGGTAATTTAATTCACCTATGTATTTTCAGTGGGAGAATAGTAATTCTACATATGCAATATGTGTGTATACTTATGTGAGTATACACACACATATACTTTTTAAAATGTGCATATTCAAATCTTTAGAAAAAACTGGATCATTACCAAAAAATTCTTAATAAAAAGTAATTAAGAAATAAAAACACTCCACACAAGAAAAAATTACTTTATAAAGATCATTTAACAAGTATTATCTTTGTTACCCAACCAAAGTTAAAGTATTCAATTAAGGCAATGTAATCATTAATCACAGATATTAGCTTTTAGAAATTAATAGAGCAGGAGATGAGACATTCACTGTTCCCAGGGTCTGTCATCACCAGGTTGCAAAATAAGAGACTGTCACGCATGCATCAACAGATGCAAGCAATAGGCAGCAAAATATGTAAGTAATTTTTTCATGTCAGCCATGTAACTTTAAGAACAGGGCTTATACTTGAAAAATAAAATAAAGCAATGTTTGCAAAATGCTTATCTGTGTGAACAGGTTAAGGAACAGGCAACATGAGAAGCACCAAAGTTACTGAAAGCAAACTGGCACCTCAAAATCTGGATTTTTGAAAAGCTCCCCAAGGATGGTAAACAAATTTGGCAAAGACCAAAAACAGACAACATAATGTTGTACATTTAATTCATACTGCTCAAATCCTTGCTGACTAAAGCAATATTTTAAACATACAATCCCACTTTACAATTAACTTTTCCTACATTTAAGTATAGTGTTTTTTGTAGGGTTTATGCCAATAAGCTATTTCTTAAAAGTATTTATTTTGAGAAATCATGGCATTTTAATGGTAAGAGGAAAGAAAAAAAGGATTAATATCTTTCACTGTAGAAATGATTTGCCTTTAAAGATGCTAAAAGGAACATTTCACATGATCAACTTATCTAAGGTAAGAATAAAGTGCTCTGGACATTTTTAAAAGTATTCAGAAAAGAGAAATAAATAATGAAAAAAGTATAGCCAAGCTGAATAGCTGGAAATTTCAGTTGTTACAGTTCTAACATTAATTATCCAACTTACTGATAACTCATCTCCCCTCATTTTTTCACCTAAAAACAAAGGAACTCTACCTCACCCAGAAATGTCACATTAAATAAATTATGGTATATTTGTCCAAAGAAGCTATCATGGAGATATTTTAATAATATTTTAAGAATGTGAAAATATACAAATAATTTTAGATGAGAAAAAAAGGATATACAGAAATTTAATTGTAATAGTATCCCAATTTTGCTTAGTAAAAAGAGATGTACCAGATGTGGTTATCCTTAGGTGGTAAAATCACTGGTAATCTTTTATTTTTTATTCAGTGAACTTATATGCAAATTGAGCATTCCTAATCCAAAAATCTGAAATCTAAAATGCTCCAAGATCCAAAATGTTTTGAGCACCAATATTTTACTGCAAGTAAAAAATTGCAGTAAAATATATGCAACCTCATATATGATGGTTCACAATCAAAACTCAGGCCCACTACATTTTACTCAGGGTTGCCAAAAGAAAAAACATTATCATAGATTAACAAATCATTATAATAAATTAAATAACTTATTTATGAAACATAAATGAATTTCAGGTTTAGCCTTGGGTCTCATCCCTAAGATTACATACATACAAACATTTCAAAATCCAAAAATTTCCCAAATCCAATACACTTCTAGTCTCAAGCATTTTAGATACGAGATACTCAACCTGTATTATGCATCTAACAAGGAAAAGAAAAAACCCAATTAAAAAAGAATCAGAGGTTATAAATTCTAACTAGAAATGCCTATATAAAGGATGACTGGTTCCACATTTTAAATCTCTTTGTATCACCTAAAACAGAGCATAGCACTATGACTATTTGTTGATATAATCCTTCAGTTAAAGAAAATAATTTATTTTAAAATACTAAACCTGTATGTTGCTGTTCTCATTTGCCCGTCGCCGTCCTTCTACTCGGCTGATAGTTATAGTCTGACCAATAACATCAATTGCCCCAGGTAATCTCCTGTAACATAAAAATTGAATCAATTCAATTTTACCTAATCAGATGCTTAAAAGATAAAATCATTAAAAAAAACACAAAAACTGTCTGCAATAAATTTTAAAATAAAATCAGATCATAATACACTTTGAAAAATATTCCGGTGTTTAAGCTCACTACTTTTGCACTGTTATAAAAACTTTCATTAAGAAATTAACTACAATTAACATACCCAACAATGATCATAACATTAAATTTTAAGTCTCTGTAGACCTCTTCTTCTAAACTTACCATTTTTAGTGGTCTCCAAATGAATTTATCTTTTGTGAAATAAAATGAGACAGCAAATACCAGACAAATGGAAATTTTGGGGCCACTACAATTTTAACACACACTATAGCTCTATTATAAAAACTTTAAATATTTCCCAAAAAGGCTTGAAAATAATGCTCATTTTGACACACACAGGATATTTTCCTTGTGATATAGTCCAAGTATTAAAAAACTAAAAGGGAACCAGTTTTCCATTTCTGATAACTTGAATTTAGATAGAAAAGTTGAAATATTTAAATACTTGCCCTAACTTCGTTTACAATCGCTTTAAAGTTCTTGAGGATATGGAAAAATAGTCTACCAAAAAACAATGCTACCAATTTAACAGAAAAACTTAGTAAACTGTATTTTAAATAATTAAAATAATGTTAAAAGCTATTATGCAGACGAAGGACTTTATAAAAGTATACATGCCCAAGATGATATAGAAGCCAATTGGAAAAACAGGAAATGAAAAGTGAATGCAAATTAGATGAATTTCCCTTCATCTATATTTCAGTTCTCAACAATTCTGCCTTTAAAACTTTATAGAAGTAAAACAACTAAAATATCACAGATCCTTCCAGTCACTAGATTAGGCTCCTGAAATGACAAATAACAGCAGCTACCATTGGCTGGATGCCAAACCCATTACATTTAAACCTCACAAAAACTTAAAAATTATTGTATACCTGTTAAAGACAAGTCAGGGTCCAAAGTGAAATCACTGACCTAAGTATGAATTAAATGGCAAAACTAACTTTCAAACCTGAGTTTTTCTGATCGCAAAGCCTATCGACCTCCCCTTCCCTTGAGCTAGGTTTTCTTCCAGCAAGACGATTCACCTTTGAGGAATTTAAGACTTTTCTGAAAATCATAGGTTAGTAAGAGTTTTATCTTAAGTAGACATTGAAACACTCCAAAATTAACTGTATGCTAACAAAGTCAGCCCTATTAGAAGTATATCATGACATCTGAAATTTCTTCAAGTACATAGTCAGTTCCCACCTACCATCTCTTGCCCACTTAAGACTTCCCTTCTCTATAATTTTAATACAATTTAAAAATGTTCATGCCTTTCTAACTTTATGCCTGGGTCACTGACTTCCCAGGTTTCCTCATGGTCTCAAAGATCAAGAATGATTTAATTGGAAGACTAACATATCCTCCAATACCGCTGGGGAAAGACATTAATATATACACATTACAAAAATCCAAATATCTTGACGATAAAACAAACATTGCTTCAATTTCTTCCCTGTAACTTAAATTATAAAGCTATGTTCACTGTAACTGCATTATCAAAGCACATGCCATCAGCCCTCTGATATACAAACATTTCATATTCCAACATCCTATAAATACAGGTGTGTATTCTGAGGCTATAGTTTCTACTCCGTTTATTGCTGCCTAGACTTCATTGCCAAAATTTTTACTTTGACTCTATTTCCTTTTCTACCATTTTCTACTGCCAATCACTCGATTCTCTCCTTTGCATTTTTAAATTTATTCCCATAAAGAACAAATTCCACAAAATTTGTTTGGACTTGCAAGTCAGATAGCAAACTCTCCAAATCATTAAAAGTGGTAAAAATTAGATCTAGATATAAGACTAACTTTCCTGTTGAGGGGAAAAATTTCTATAACCTGTCTTTTACCATTTATTTCTAAGGATCTCTATTCATCTCTTAAAATGTACCTTAAATATGGACAGAAGTCTAATTAGTTGTTTTCAGCTTTAAATTGATTTTTTTTGAATCACTAAAGATTCAAAATGGCAAATACTATGTTTCTAAAAACATGTAACAGAGAAATCAGCCTTAACAATATATATCCCTAAAGGGAGATTAGAAAATTACAATTCTCTACATTTTCATAACATCTCCTTATGCAGGTATTTTTTAACCACATAAACTGAGTTACTTTAATAAAAAACATTAAGTTTACTATTTTGTTCAGAAATGTTTTATGATAGACACATAGTATGTACCACAGTAACAAAAAGCACGTTAATATCTAACACTGACAAATAATTTAAAAATCTAATGTTATTCTGATGCCATTATTATGGAAAAAATATTGAACCATATTATTCCATGAAAGTTCTTAATGAAAAGCTTTTTCTTTCATTGCATAAAATGATTTAGTAGAGTTTCTCTATGAGGAAATCAACTATAACTAGAGTTCCACAAATCATAGGTTAAATTAGGACAACAAACTTGTTCAGTAAGTAGACAGCTAATGCTATTACCAAAATTCTCTTCTCCATATTGGACTCAATCATCTAGTAAAAAGCTAAGGAAGAAACTAACCATCCTGGGTGTCTGAATTAATGTACAGTTTAAACAGGCAATAAATGTTCCCAAGATCCTCTACCTCCCCTCCTGGCACAGACGAATATAAAAATATCTCTGAAGTTACAATGGAATTAAATTATCATATTTTGATGATTCTGATGTCCCAGAAAGGATTTGAGGGCCCTCCCTGCAGAAATGCAACAGAAAGTTTAAAATGACAAATCAGGGCTAATAGAAGATGGACAAAAGGCTATACATTTATCTTTGAAGGTCAGGCTCACACATGTAATCCCAACACTTTGGAAGCCTGAAACAGGAGGATTACTTGGGCCAAGGAATTCAAGAACAGTCTAGTCAACATGGCGAGACTTTGTGTGTACAAATAATTTTAAAAATTAGCCAGGCATAGTGGGACACACCCGTGGTTCCAGCTATTCAGATGGCTTAGGCGAGAGCACTGCTTGAGCCCGGGAGATGAAGGATGCAGTGAACTGTGATTATGCCACTGTACTTCAGAATGGGCAACAGAGCAAGAGCCGTTCTCAAGAAAATAAATAAATAAATAATAAATAAATAAATAAATAAATAAATCTCAGCTGCATTTTCTTGGCAGCCAAAGCAAAGGTTATCATTAATAACGAATGTCTTTAATGTGCATAAGATTAAAATAAAGCATTTGCTCTGAAGATTGTTTTTCCCAGTAATGACAGCCAGTATTTATGGAGCACCTACTATGTGCAAGGTAAGCACTGTTCTAAATACTTTATATATATTTAGTCTTCATGATAAACCCATAAGGCAGCAGCTCTTACTCCTGTCATTTGATGAGAATAAAGAGAAAAAATTTCTCCTTTGAGTCTAAGAGAAAATATGAATACAATATTTTTTAAACTTTACTGACTACAAAACACAGTAAGGAAGACATTTTACATAGCAATCCAGTACTCACATTACATTCAAAACTAAAAAGGTTCATGAAACAATACTTAAAAAGGAAAAACAATACTTAAAAAAGGACATTAAGATAAAATGTAATTTTGTTAATATTTAAATATTACATAGAAAAAAGCAAAATAAACAATACAAAACCAAGAAATACTGGTTGGGACCACCAAATTGTTTCACAACTCACTAATAGACTGCAATCTCGTGCTTTCAAAACTATTTAAATAAAGTCTCCAATATTCCTACTAAAAATAAATTTAATTTTACTGAGCTGTTTCTCAAAATGCTCTTTAATGCTGAATGAAGCACAATAGCGCACAATTCAATAAAAGCAATTTAATTTAGGAGAAGCAAAACAACGTGGTCCTCGTATCTAGCACTCTTAATAGGCTTGATTTAATAATTTAACTGTGCTTTTGAGAACAGTTCAAGTTCTTAACTAGCAACATGGTTCTCTAAAGAGGAATCAGGAAGTCCCTGATTCTAAATAAATGCCTAATGTATAGAGTAATTTTCAGGCAAGAGTCCAGAGTTTATAGCAAATTTTCAAATGGGTTATTGCTTGAAAGAAAAGTTCATAACCTTATTTTTTTTTCACCACAGAAAGGACATTCAGACATAACCACATTTTAAAAGACTAGATGAATCACATATTGATGTAGAAATCTGTGAATGTTTTCTCACAGAAGAGCTTCTAATAAAAACTGGGTAGCACACAGTTCAAAGGTCCATTCTCTAAGAAAAAAAAGCCTAGAATGTGGCTATCTGATAACTTGAAAAGCGATGCACATGTTATGACATTTAATTCAGGTCACCCATGGAAACTGTGTAGCATCTTTTAAGCTACTTTAGGAAAGAGATGAGCCTTACAAAACATGTTGGATTGATTTAAGCACACAGGATGAGAAGGTAGAACATTTCAATGGAGGGAAGACTATGAGTAGAGAGAAAAGATGGAGGGGGGCAGATATTATGTGCAGAATTTCTGCTTAGCAAATATACTACCTATCAATCTGCTTGCAATAGAAGCATCATGCAACTTTGATAGTGGTTACCAACCAAAAGACATTCAAAGAGGCAGAGAATATGAATTAAATGAGAATCATGTAAAGAAAAAGACTGTGAGGCTGCAAAATGCTATGCAAATATCACCTCCCATTATAACTCCATCTATCACTTTATTTCAAAACTGCAGGTACCCAGCTATCATTTGATTTTAATCTTTATTCCAAACCAGAATCAAGTCTCTAAATCACTGGTTCTCAACCTTGCCTACATATCAGAATCCTGATGCACAGGGTGTACACCAGACTATTTAAATCAGCATTTCTGGGACCCAAGCATCAATACTTTACTGAAGCTTCCTAGGTAATTCCAACGTAGTCAAAGTTGAAGACTACAAATCTAAGGGCATATTCAAGAAACTGGCAGACATTTTGTTCCCTCTAGAAATAAAGTAGCCAATAAAAA